TGGGGGGGGGGGCGCCAAAATATTGTTTGCTTACCGTTGAAAATTACCTAGGGCCGCCTCTGCCCGGCGATGCAAAGAGGGACGAGGTGGGCGTGGCTGGCCCAGCGTATCTGTCCGAACGCATCTCCCTCTACGTCCCCTCGGAGTTTAAGATCTTCTGGGGAGGCCCTGCTCTCGGCCCCACCTCTATCACAAGTGAGATTGCTGGGGACAAGGAGCAGGGCCTTCTCGGTGGTAGCCCCTCGCCTGTGGAATTCACTCCCCGGGGAAATTAGGTCATCGACATCCCTCCTCTCTTTTAGAAGGAAACTAAAACATGGATATGGGACCAGGCCTTTGGGTAATCTGGCAGATAGACAAAGGACAATTGACGACTGGAATTGATAGGATTGGACAATGTGGAATGAATTTACAGACTCTGAGCTGGTGAATGTTGAGCATTAGACTGGTTTTATGGATTGTGATGTATAATAAGTTATTTTAATTGTTTTATAATTGCTGTGATATATGTTTTATCTTATTGTTTTTGTAAGCCGCCCTGAGTCCCCCCTCGGGGGTTGAGAAGGGCGGGGTAGAAATGCGCGAAATAAATATATAAATAAATAAAATCAGCAAACGTTTAATAGACACAAAAAACTATTGGCAGAGACGAAGGACAGGGCCTTCTCAGTGGTGGCCTCCCAGCTATGGAACTCCCTCCCCAGGAATATTAGATCGGCCCCCTCTCTCCTGGCTTTCCAAAAAAAAAAAAAAACACGGAATGATGAACATGGAATGGCCAGAAGATGTTACTGGATAACGTTTTTAACAAGATGACACTGATGATTATATGCTTTAACGGTTTTTATTTATGTTTTATATTGTAATGTTGATTGTCTTTAATGGCACTTTTATGAATGCCTGACATTGAATTGTGCCAATCTGTAACCCGCCTTGAGTCGCCGTATGGCTGAGAAATGGGGGCTATAAATATCGTAAGTAAGTAAATAAATAAATAAATGGTGATAACTGAATCTAGCTATGTGATGTATAGAAAAAAGAAAGAGAGGGGCTGAAAATATGTAGACTCAAATACTATAACTTAATTGGCAGCTAGTTTCCTACAGTTGTAATAGACAAGCTGGGAAAATACTTTAAATATTAAAAAAGGAGGGAAGTGTTTTGAATTAAGCCATGCCCAAACCCAATCAAGACAGCATCACTGTGTTCCCCCCTCAGAAACACATTCTACATATCTCATCCAGGGTTTGATCAATTTTATTCCTAGTACATTTGGCCCACCCACTGTGTTCTATTTCTCTATCATGTTATTTTGAAACTGTTTATTTTATTTTGTTATTTCATGTATTTATTTTGATGGTATTTTTGCTTCTTTGTATTTTATTTTGCTGTACTGTAATTTTGGGCTTGGCTTCATGTTAGCTGCCCCGAGTCCCCTTTGGGGAGATGGTGATGGGATATAAATAAAGAGCCCTAAATGGTTCTGGCCCTACTTACATCTCCGAACACATCTCCTCCTATGAACCAACTAGGACATTAAGATCATCTGGGGAGGCCCTGCTCTTAGTCCCGCCTGCATCACAGGCGCGCCTGGCGGGAACGAGAGACAGGGCCTTCTCAGTGGTGGCCCCTCGGCTGTGGAACGCCCTTCCTATAGATATCAGATCGGCCCCATCCCTATTGGTGTTTCGGAGGAAAGTGAAGACCTGGCTGTTCGAACAAGCATTCGATTAAGCAGTGTAATGAATATAGGAACACGGATTAACGGATGATGAGATTGGATTCTGATTTTACTGATGAGATGCTAATGATTGTTATATTGATGTCTAATTGTTGATGATGCTATTGTTTTAACTGTCCCATAATCGTTTTATGATGTTTTGCATTGAATTTTGCTGTTGTTAACCGCTTTGAGTCGCCTGAGGGCTGAGAAAAGTGGTATATAAATGAAATAAATAAAATAAATAAATAATAAATTTTATTGACACAAATGTCACAGCAAATGAGATCTATATGCTGGATTTCATCTCACAAAATCACAAGTCAAACACTTCCCAAGTGTCTAGGACCTTGTCATGGTTGATGCGCGCAGATCCAAGTAAGGTGGCCTTTTGCAGTTGCCAGATCGTGATTTTGTCAAAGTTTATTGTTTCCAAATGCCGGCTGAGATCTTTTGGCACGACACCCAATGTGCTGATCACCACTGGGAACACCTATACTGGTTTATTTTTATTTATTTATTTATTTATTATTTAAACTTATATGCCGCCACTCCCCTGGGGCTCGGAGCGGCTTACAAGAATAGCTAAAATCTAACAAAGTTTAAAAGCAATTTAAAACAATTTAAAAACAACAGTATCAAACATTAAAAGCCTGTCGGAACAGGTATGTCTTACATGCCCTGCGGAAAGCTGGTAAGTCCCGCAGGGCACGAACTTCAGGTGGCAGAGCATTCCAGACTGATGGCGCCACTGCTGTGAAGGCTCTGCGTCTGGTTGCCGTTAGACGCAAGGTCTTGACACTGGGGACTTCCAATAGATCTTGGTCCTCAGAACGGAGGGATCTCTGGGGTTGGTAGGGGGTGAGACGATCCCTCAGATACATTGGCCCCAGACCATGCAAGGCCTTAAAAGTGAGTACCATCACTTTGAAAGTGATCCGGTGCTCAATTGGTAACCAATGCAGCTGTAGTAAGATTGGTGTTATGTGGCATCTCATCGGAATTCCCGCAAGAAGCCGAGCAGCTGTGTTTTGTACCAACTTGAGCTTCCGAATCACCGACAGAGGGAGGCCAATGTAGAGGGCGTTACAGTAGTCCAGTCTTGAGATGACCGTGGCCTGGATCACCATAGCTAGGTCGTCCCTGGACAGGTAGGGGGCCAGCCGTCTAGCCTGCCGCAGGTGAAAGAAGGCGGTTTTGCTCACGGCGGAGACCTGGGCCTCCATTGTCAGCAGAGGGTCCAAAAGGACTCCCAGACTCTTTACCAATGATGACGGGCGTAACGCCTCGCCATCCAGGGTGGGCAGATGGATGTCCCCACTGCCCGGTCCACCCAGCCATAGGATCTCCGTCTTTGCTGGATTCACCCTCAACCTGCTGGCACGCAGCCATCCAGTAACGGCCTCGAGGCACTGATGGAAACAATCAGGTACAGAGTCCGGTCGGCCTTCCATCTTCAGCACCAGCTGAGTGTCATCGGCATACTGATAACACTCAAGCCCAAAACCTCGAACCAGCTGAGCAAGTGGTTGCATATAGATGTTAAACAACAGAGGGGAGAGAATGGCCCCCTGAGGAACCCCACAAGATAGAGGGGACCTCTCAGAGACCAGGCCTCCCCTCTCCACTCGCTGTCCACGGTTGTGAAGAAAGGAGGACAGCCAGTTTAAAGCTGTCCCCCTGATTCCAGCAACAGCAAGGCGGTGGTCAAGAGATTGTGGTCGACTGTGTCAAATGCTGCTGTGAGATCCAATAGCACGAGCAGCGCTGACCCGCCCTGGTCAAGCTGGCATCGAAGGTGATCCGTGATGGAGACCAGCACAGTCTCTGTCCCGTGCCCCGCACGGAAGCCAGATTGGAAGGGATCTAGTCCGGCTGTGTTGTCTAGGAATTGCTGCAACTGCTCCGCTGCTGCCCTCTCAATCACCTTGCCCAGGAACGAGAGATTTGAAACTGGGCGGTAACTGGAGGGAACCGAGGGATCTAAATCTGGTTTCTTCAGCAAAGGAGAGACCACCGCCTCTTTTAAACCCTCTGGAAAGACTCCTTGCTCAAGGGAGCTGTTTATGATCTTCAACAGAGGGTCACGTAATCCCTCCAAGCAGGATTTCACCAACCAAGAGGGACACGGATCGAGGGAGCAAGTGGTCGGTCTAGCTGCAGCTATGAGCCTATCGACAGCCCCTGCATCCAGTGGGATGAACCGGTCGAGGATGGGCCCAGCAAGTGGCCACGGGGTCTCAAGTTCTCTCACTGTATCAATTGTGGCAGGGAGGTCCCGGCGAAGTAGCGAGATCTTGTCTGCAAAATAGCTCTGAAAAACCTCGGCTGGAGGGGCCTGATTACCACTTTTTGGGACGGTAGGAACCGTCGTTAGAGATCGAATTATTTTGAACAATTTTGCCGGGCGTGAGCTAGCAGACGTTATCAAAGAAGCATAATATACTCGCTTTGCCTCAGTGATAGCATGCTCATAGGATTCCCTGAATGCCTCATAAGCTGATCTCGATAAGCTTATGGCAGGGCTATTATTATTATTATTATTATTATTATTATTATTATTATTATTATGTGTAAAAAGTGTGTCACCAACATGAAATGTCTGGAAAGCTCTGCACTAAGATGTTGGGAATACAAAATTACCAGATCTAGCACAGAAGTAAATAGAGAAGAAAGGGAAAATTTAGAAGTCAAGAAATAAATAAAATAATGAAAAGGATTCCTCACTGAGCACCACTATCAGCCAAAGAAAGATTTTCTTTATTATTATTTTACTGACACAAAACCACATTATGTCACAGAAAATGAGATCTATATGCTGGATTTCATATCACAAAATCACAAGTCGAACACTTCTCAAACGTCTAGGACTGTGTGATATTATTATTATTATTATTATTATTATTATTATTACACCTTCTCTCATCTGTCTCCCAAGAAAACTGATCTGGAACACCAAGAGACTCCCTGAAATCACATTTAGGTTTGTGCTTAAGGTAGCCAGCAAAAATATGTCAACCCTTTTACATGATACATCTGCCAAGAGGAAACTTTTGGTATATCATAGTCTGTTCCATTCATGGAAGATCTAGTGTAGAATGAACATAGCACAATTTTTCCATCCTCGATTTTTTAAAGTGACTGAGAATCTTCAAAAGGATAATGGTTGGATAGTCCATCTTAAGGCAAGGAGTTGTATGTTATTTGCTTTATCCTTTCAGATGTAAGATTCTGAAACAGCTATAAAGCCACAAAAACAAATTGTGTTCCAATTACTTACGATTTCAGCTGCAGGTTATGCTGAAAATTATGCTGGTTTGATTGATGGTTTGTGCACATGAACTCTTCTGCCCATTTAGTAAAAGATGGGAAATATTCCTGTATTTCCTCCATTACATCATTTTGCTTCAGATTTAACTGATACCTTCAGGAATCAGAGGACAAAAGTATATAAAATGCTTTATATTCAACAAGAGAACAGGAAAATAATGCAAACGATCTCTAAAGTACAATGCTGTTGCATGCCTGTTTATTTTCATATCCATAACTATTTATGATCAATACCAGGGGTCCTCAAACTTTTTAAACAGAGGGCCAGGTCATAGTCCCTCAAACTGTTGGAGGGCCAGATTATAATTTTGAAAAAATAGGAATGAATTCCTATGCACACTGCACATATCTTATTTGTAGTGCAATAAACACTTTAAAACAATACAATAATTAAAATGAAAAACAATTTTAACAAATATAAATTTATTAATATTTCAATGGGACGTGTAGGCCTGATTTTGGCTGATGAGATAGGATTGTTGTTGATGTTGTTGTTGTTGTGTGCTTTCAAGTAATTTCAGACTTAGGTTGACCCTGAACAAGGGCTGAGTAAATGACCTTGGAGGGCTGTATCCGGCCCTCGGGCCTTAGTTTGAGGACCCCTAATCTATACAATGAAAAGTTTTACTACAATCTATCAAGTGCAGCCATTAAACTATAAAGCAGCAAAACAATCAGGTCTTTGCAGAACCATATACATCTCCATCGTCATTTAGGGTTCTTACAGGTAGTACTTACAGCTCTTTTAAATACTGTGGTCCCTGAAGAACTGAGAAGGCAATTTCATTCAGTTTTTCTTGGGCAAAATTTGTTCCTGCTTTTTGGAAAATTTCATGTAGAAGGGTACCTATCAACATTGGATGTGAACCAGACTCACATTTCTGTAAAATAAAATAATCAGCCAAAAATACTCAAATAAATGTTTGTGCATAATGTAACAGTCAAGACAACATGTTTATACAACAAGATTAGAGTAGTTCATTTTCCTTCCTCCCAAACAATGGGGATGTAATCTTAAACACACACATTATAAAATACGTCCTTTAAACACAGTGCTTAGAACTCTACTATAAACAAACAAGGAATATTAAGTAAGTTAATGTCACAACAATATCAATATTACACCAACTGTCTTACATGCATCGTTTGTGAAGATAAGCTCACCAGTGTTTTGTTTCTTATTATAGCTGTAAGTCACTATGCACTTATGTGGATGATTAGGAAGTAACACATTACATGCCTTTTTTTTGTTGTAAAGGCTTCCTCTTCATTGTCTGATATTCTATTTAATCTAATATGCTGCCACAATCTGTGAGGTACTAGGCTATGCTGCCACCAATCAATAAGAGTTTCCTATTTAGCTTATTAATGGATTCCCCTATTTTCAAATAGATTCCCTGCTACCACTCTGTAGTGTTTCTTTTAGTGTGCAGCGAGGTTTTTTTCCCCCTTTGAAATAGTACACTGAGACTTGAGTTACTAAAACAAGAACAAGTTTATTTGGAGTATGGAAGGGTCTTAATGGTTTCAGAGTTCTCTTCTCCTGAGGTATCAACCTTTATGAGTTACAGTTTCAACAAATCTTAATATAACTTTAAGATGTCTTTTACTTCACCAACTAGTTCTTTAGTTGTTACACTTCTAAATATGTTTCCTTATTTGACAGATTAACTAAGGTCAGCTAATGCCCTTGTCTCCCTTCAGCTTCCTGCTGAAGTAAAGATTCCCAGTGGGATTTCTTCTCCTATTAGCACACAGCTAAACCACAAACCTAAATAAGTCCCCTTGACTTATTTAAATCACTCAGGCTAAAAGCTTTCCCTTAGTTTGGTTCACCACATGTTTGAACCACCTTCCCTTTGGCTCGATGACCAAAGGACTGAAGCCTCAAAATGTCTGCTTCTGGTAAGTGCAGTTGGCTCCACCCCGTTCTCCATGGCAACCTAACTCAGAGTGCTGAGCTTGGTCCCATCCCTCTAGTTCTGCCATTTCTAAATGGTTAACCCTTTATGTACATCCATAACTGTCTTTTACCTCCTGAACACATACATATAATAATATTCAACCATCTAAGCATGCATATATATACATACAATCATATTTAACTGTAGAGTCACATATACATAACTACGCTTAACTTACAGTTAAAAATCAAAGCTTCATCACAATCATATAGATACAAATGTATGAAATAATAATAATAATAACCATAAGACTATGCAATATTCAAAGCATGTTAAGAGAAGCCCTGCTCAATAGCTAATGCACTCTTGTCCAAGCTAGGATAATATTTGGATCAAATGTTCAGAGAAATTATAAATCAAGTCAAGCTTAGTGTTTTCTCCCACTTACCCTGAACTTTTCACTCAGTATAGCTCTCCTCATACATCGAATGCTATTTGATACCGTAGTGCCAGAAAGTAGTATATCTGGATATAAGATTAAGTATCCAGACTCTGCATCTATTACCCAGACACCAGAACTGCACTCGCCTTCTAGATGAATGATGTCCCCAGGCTGTACTGGAACAGAAATCCTAAAAACACACATACGTTAAATTACAAGCTTTTCTAAAATCAAAGTAAAAAGTTGGGTTGTTTTTTGTTTGTTTGTTTGTTGTTGTTTTGTGTCAGGAGCGACTTGAGAAACTGCAAGTCGCTTCTAGTGTGAGAGAATTGGCTGTCTGCAAATAATAATAATAAATAATAAACTTTATTTGTACCCCGCTACCATCTCCCCAAAGGATTCGGTGCGGCTTACATGAGGCCAAGCCCAAAGTACATCAAACAAAACATCAATAAACACAACATCAATAAACAATCAATAAAATACAAATCATATAAATCACGTAAACAAAAAAACAATCAATCGTGACATAAACAATTTTTATAATGGCCAGGCCAAATGTAATAGATTAAAATTGAAAGGAGGTGTTTTACGACACTATAAAGAAAGAAAATCAGAAAATGCTGGGTGACCAAAAGGAAGGAGGAAGTCCTGATGGCTCTTTGTCATAGAGGATAAAGCAACAGCACCCCCTGGACCCGAGCCCAACCTTCCATGGCACCTCCTTCTGTTCTGTCTGTCTGTGTATTGTGTATACAAAGCGGCATTGAATGTTTGCTGTGTATGTGTACTGTGATCCGCCCTGAGTCCCCTTCGGGGTGAGAAGGGTGGAATATAAATAGTGTTATTATTATTATTAACAGAAGAGGAGACATAACCCAAAAGATACCAAATTAAAAAGAAATAGAAAATGAGTTGTAGATGGCAGCACATTGTTATTTATTTATTTACACAATTTCTACCCCGCCCTTCTCACCCCCGAGGGGGGACTCAGGGCGGTTAACACAGGCAACAATTCAATGCCGACAATATCAATAACAACAATATAAAATCCTAGTACATAGCAAATTAAAACAGTAATATTAATTAAAATTACGTAATCACATAGAACAAATTACATAATCACAAGTCATATAGCTGTTTCCAATTGTCATAACAATCCTATTGTCCGGACTCAGTGTCTAAAGTGCTGCTGTGCTCACTAGTCAAAGGCTTGACTCCAAAACCACGACTTTAGTTTTTTCCTAAAATAGAGGAGGGAGGACGCCGATCTAATCTCGCTGGGGAGCAAATTCCACAAGCGGGGGGTCACTACTGAGAAGGCCCTGTCCCTCGTCCCCACCAGACGTGTTTGAGACGCTGGTGGGACCGAGAGCAGGGCCTCCCCAGTAGATCCTAAATCATGAGGTGGAACATAGAGAGAGATACGTTCGGATAAGTAAGTTGGGCCGGAGCTAGGAGTGGAATATTATGCACAGATCAAAACTATCAAACTGTATCAAATTACTTTAGTGCCGGGCTTGGCAAACTGCATTTTAGAGCAAAAGAATGCTGATCTGATTCCTGTAAATGTCGTTCATATGGATTTGCAATCATTTGGAAACAAACTCCATATTTACAGACTACATTTTCGTCAAAAGCCTCAATTGCCCTTACTTCAAATTCTTGGAAGGAAACATTTTGACACAAACCCAAGTTTTTCCAGCACAACTACAAATACTTAAAGCACAGAATCCCCAACAATCAAGATGCAAACTACATTTATGCAGTTGTTACCAGTCATTCCTAAGGATACACAGCTCTGTATTCAAGCCATCAAGCAGAGAAGAGGCTGTAATGGTCAGGTGCTTCTCCGCATCACCCTTTTCCTGGACTTGCAGTATGCAGTATCTGTTGTTCAAACCCTTGTTGAGCACAGTATCAGGGAAGCCAACCATTCTCTCTGGAAATCTAAAATAATAGTTACACTAGAATTAACAATAATTACACTATGTAACAAAGTTTGAAAAAAAATCTGTTCTGGTTTGAAAGTGTTATTCCTGTTTAATTGTGTGATCCTAACTTCGAAAGTAGTTGTTATAATCCAGAAGTAGTTGTTATAGTCCAATATGGATGTAACCAAGACGTGGACCACCCTGGCAAAGTCAGACTTCACGAGGTATGGTCACAGCTGGCACACAAGTTTTCATAGAATCATAGAGTTGAAAGAGACCTCATGGGCCATACAGTCCAACCTAGGGGTGAGTCCCCCCAGGGGTGAGAAAAGCGGTATATAAATGCTGTAAATAAATAAATGTAAATAAATAACCCCATTCTGCCAAGAAACAGGAAAACGGCATGCAAAGCACCCCTGACAGATGGACATCCAGCCCGTTTAAAAGCTTCCAAAGAAGGAGCTTCCATCACACTCTGGGGCAGAGAGTTCCACTGCTGAACAGCTCTCACAGTCAGGAACTTCTTCCCAATGTTCAGATGGAATCTCTTTTCCTGTAGTTTGAAGCCATTGTTCCATTGCGTCCTACTCTCCAGGGCAGCAGAAAACAAATAATAATAATAATAATCATCATCATCATCATCATCATCTTTATTTATACCCCGCCATCATCTCCCCAATGGGGACTAGGAGCGGCTTACATGGGGCCAAGCCCGGACAATATATTACAGCAAAATAAAACTAAATTGTGTCCAATTCTGGGCACCACAATTGAAGAAAGATATTGACAAGCTGGAATGTGTCCAGAGGAGGGCGACTCAAATGATCAAGGGTCTGGAGAACAAGCCCTATGAGGAGCGGCTTAAGGAGCTGGGCATGTTTAGCCTGAAGAAGAGAAGGCTGAGAGGAGATATGATAGCCATGTATAAATATGTGAGAGGAAGCCGCATGGAGGAGGGAGCAAGCTTGTTTTTTGCTGCTCTGGAGACTAGGACACAAAACAATGGCTTCAAACTACAAGAGAGGAGATTCCAACTGAATATGAGGAAGAACTTCCTGACTGTGAGAGCCGTTCAGCAGTGGAACTCTCTGCCCTGGAGTGTGGTGGAGGCTCCTTCTTTGGAAGCTTTTAAACAGAGGCTGGATGGCCATCTGTCAGGGGGTGCTTTGAATGCAATATTCCTGCTTCGTGGCAGGGGGTTGGACTGGATGGCCCATGAGGTCTCTTCCAACTCTTTGATTCTATGATTCTAGAACAGGGGTCCTCAAACTAAGGCCCGGGGGCTGAATACAGCCCTCCAAGGTCATTTAGCCGGCCCTCGCTCAGGGTCAACCTAAGAAATGACTTGAAATCACACAAAAACAACAATCCTATCTCATCAGCCAAAAGCAGGCCCGCACTTCCCATTGAAATACTTTTTTTTTTTGTCGTGTCAGGAGCAAGTCGCTTCCGGTGTGAGAGAATTGGCCGTCTGCAAGGACGTTACCCAGGGGACGCCTGGACGATTTGATGTGGGAGGCTTCTCTCATGTCCCCGCATGAAGAGCTGGAGCTGATAGAGGGGGCTCATCCACCTCTCCTCGGATTCGAACCTGCGACCTGTCTGTCTTCAGTCCTGCCGGCACAGGGGTTGAACCCATTGCGCCACCGGGGGCTCCCATGAAATAATAATTTTATATTTGTTAAAATTGTTCTTCATTTTAATTATTGTATTGTTTTAAAGTGTTTTGCACTACAAATAAGATATGTGCAGTGTGCATAGGAATTCATTCATTTTTTTTTCAAATTATAATCCGGCCCTCCAACAGTTTGAGGGACGGTGATCTGGCCCTCTGTTTAAAAAGTTTGAGGATCCCTGCTCTATATACACAATAATGTATAATCCTAGAAAATTTCATCAAAATTGCATAGAAGATGCAGGTTTTTGTGAAGACCCTGACAGGAAAGACCATCACGCTGGAGGTGGAGCCCAGTGACACCATTGAGAATGTGAAGGCCAAGATCCAGGAGAAAGAAGGCATCCCGCCTGACCAGCAGAGGCTCATCTTTGCCGGGAAGCAGCTGGAAGATGGCCGCACTCTTTCTGACTACAATATCCAGAAGGAGTCCACCTTGCACCTGGTTTTGCGACTGAGGGGTGGCATTTGAAGTCGACGCTTACCAGCAACCAACCAGATAAAAATGCACTGCACTTGATTTCAATAAAGCTGTTGCATCCCCCTCCAAAAAAAAAATTACATAGAAGAAAAGTATAAACACAGTAACAAAATAACATCCCAATAAAAAACAAGCTTGCTCCCTCCTCCCTATGACTTCCTCTCACGTATTTATACCTGGCTGTCAAGCATCCCGAGCTCTGAGGATTACCTGGAAAGGAATCCCACTGGAGCATTGCAACACACCCAAATACCTGGGAGTCACTCTGGACCGTGCTCTGACCTACAAGAAGCACTGCCTGAACATCAAAAAAAAAGTGGGCGCTAGAAACAACATCATACGAAAGCTGACTGGCACAACCTGGGGATCACAACCAGACACAGTGAAGACATCTGCCCTTGTGCTATGCTACTCTGCTGCTGAGTACGCATGCCCAGTGTGGAACACATCTCACCACACTAAAACAGTAGATGTGGCTCTTAATGAGACATGCCGCATTATCACAGGGTGTCTGCACCCCACACCAATGGAGAAATTACACTGTTAGCCGGTATTGCACCACCTGACATCCGCCGGGAAGTAGCAGCCAATAGTGAAAGGACCAAGGCAGAGACATCTCCAGCTCATCCCTTGTTTGGGTATCAGCCAGCACGTCAATGACTTAAATCAAGAAATAGTTTTCTTAGATCTACAGAGACACTCGCTGGAACACCCCAGCAAGCGAGAGTCCAAAAGTGGCAGGCCCAAACCCAGCACCTCAATTCATGGCTGATACCAGATGAGAGACTCCCCCCTGGGCACTCAGAAGACTGGGCGACTTGGAAGGCGCTGAACAGACTGCGCTCTGGCACCACGAGATGCAGAGCCAATCTTAAGAAATGGGGCTACAGGGTGGAATCCTCGGCATGCGAGTGCAGAGAAGAACAAACCACTGACCACCTGCTGCAATGCACCCTGAGCCCTGCCACATGCACAATGGAGGACCTTCTTGCGGCAACCCCAGAGGCACTCCAAGTGGCCAGATACTGGTCAAAGGACATTTAACCAAATACCAAATTTGCAAAATCTGTGTTTTTTTTTCCTTTTTCTTTTTAATCTGTGTGTTTGTTTTGCTCTGTTAGAATTGTGATACAATGGTTGCTGATGACACGATAAATAAATAAATATGTCTCCTCTAAGGCTTCTCTTCTTCAGGCTAAACATGCCCAGCTCTTCAAGCCGCTCCTCATAGGGCTTGTTCTCCAGACCCTTGATCATTTTAGTCCCCCTCCTCTGGACACATTCCAATTGTGCAAAGACCCTCCCAGCTATTAATATGACCATGGCTATGTCTGCCAGAGTGAAAACTAGAGGCAGCTCATAAATCTTGAATGGATAGGTGGTAGGGGCCACCATCTGCTGAGGCTGTACCCACACAGCCCTGTATCCCCGGATCTGGTCCCAGATGATCTGCTTTGAACTGGGTTATATGAGTCTACACTGCCAGATAATCTGGGATCAGATCCTGGGATATAGGGCAGTGTGGGCCCAGTGTCATAGAATCATAGAATCCTAGAGTTGGAAGAGACCTCATGGGCCATCCAGTCCAAGCCCATTCTGCCAAGAAGCATGAATGTTGCATTCAAATCACCCCTGACAGATGGCCATCCAGCCTCTGTTTAAAAGCTTCCAAAGAAGGAGCCTCCACCACACTCCGGGGCAGAGAGTTCCACTGCTGAACGGCTCTCACAGCAGGAAGTTCTTCCTCATGTTCAGATTGAATCTCCTTTCTTGTAGTTTTAAGCCATTGTTTCGTGTCCTAGTCTCCAGGGAAGCAGAAAACAAGCGTGCTCCCTCCTCCCTATGACTTCCTCTCACATATTTATACATGGCTATCATGTCTCCTCTCAGCCTTCTCTTCTTCAGGCTAAACATGCCCAGCTCTTCAAGCCGCTCCTCATAGGGCTTGTTCTCCAGACCCTTGATCATTTTAGTCGCCCTCCTCTGGACACATTCCAATTGTGCAAAGACCCTCCCAGCTATTAATATGACCATGGCTATGTCTGCCAGAGTGAAAACTAGAGGCAGCTCATAAATCTTGAATGGATAGGTGGTAGGGGCCACCATCTGCTGAGGCTGTACCCACACAGCCCTGTATCCCCGGATCTGGTCCCAGATGATCTGCTTTGAACTGGGTTATATGAGTCTACACTGCCAGATAATCTGGGATCAGATCCTGGGATATAGGGCAGTGTGGGCCCAGAGTCATAGAATCATAGAATCCTAGAGTTGGAAGAGACCTCATGGGCCATCCAGTCCAACCCCATTCTGCCAAGAAGCAGGAATATTGCATTCAAATCACCCCTGACAGATGGCCATCCAGCCCTCTGTTTAAAAGCTTCCAAAGAAGGAGCCTCCACCACACTCCGGGGCAGAGAGTTCCACTGCTGAACGGCTCTCAGTCAAGAAGTTCTTCCTCAAGAGACCCAAGGCTAAAAAAAATCCATGCTCTTTGAAACCGCGCGCTTTCCTCATTCCAGGCAGCCACCTGAGCAAAGGAGGAGCCTTCTCTTCCTCTTCCTCCTCGAAGAAGCTCCTTTCCATCAGTTCCTCCAGCGCCGCTTCCTCCAGCTCTGCCCTCCTCCTCCTTTCCTCTTCTCCTTCTTCCTCGACTCGAGCCGCCATCTCCAAAGCAACACAGAGCAGAATGAGGACCCTGGGCCAAACAAGCCGGGCCCCTTGCAATACGCACGCGCAAAAGTCGCGCTGGCCAATCAGGCGCCGGGGGCGGGGCTCCCGCTGCGCGCGGGTAAAATCAGACCTCTCTCTTTCCCAATCGCTTCCCGCTTCCCCTTTTGGACGAGACTTGCAAGCGCGCGCCGCTCCTTTTAAAGTGAGTTTGTCGGAGGGCAATAATAATCATCATCATCATCTATATAAATAAAAATGTAATGTTAGTTCTTTCTATCATCAGAACTCAAAAACCACTGGGGGAAATGACACCAAATTTGGACACAAGACACCTAACAGTCCAATTTATGTCCTCCACTCAAAAAAATTGATTTTGTCATTTGGGAGTTGTAGTTGCTGGGATTTATAGTTCACCTACAATCAAAGAGCATTCTGGACTCCACCAATGATGGAATTGAACCAAACATGGCATACAGGATTTCCGTGACCGACAGAACACACTGGAAGGGTTTGGTGGGCATTGACCTTGAGTTTGGGAGTTGTAGTTCACCTACATCCAGAGAGCACTGTGGACTCAAACAGTGATGGATCTGGACCAAACTTGACACAAATATTCCATATGCCGAAATATGAACACAGATGGAGTTTGGAGGAAATAGACCTTGACATTTGGGATTTGTAGTTACTGGGATTTATAGTTCACTACAATCAAAGAGCATTCTGAACTCCACCAATGATGGAATTGAACCAAACATGGCATACAGGACTTCCATGACCAAAAGAACACACTGGAAGGGTTTGGTGGGCATTGACCTTGAGTTTGGGAGTTGTAGTTCACCTACATCCAGAGAGCACTGTGGACTCAAACAATGATGGATCTGGACCAAACTTGGCACGAATATTCCATATGCCCAAATATTTATTTATTTACTTTGCTTATATACCGCTGTTCTCACCCCGGAGGCGACTCATAGCAGTGTACAACATAGAAAGAACAAGGTTCAAAATTCGAGACACAATATAAAAATAATCCACAATCCAGCATTAACCAAAAAACATCATCATTACTACAAAAACCATTCCATATCGTCTCATCGTCCAAACCACATTCCAGTAGAAATGGAGATGAGCACCACACCCCAAAATCAGATATGACTGGACTTCATGTCAGGGGAAAACCTTTACCTTAACTATTCGATAATAAGAATAAAGATATAATGATAATAATACATATTAAATGATGATGTTGATGGTGGTGATAATATGATGATGATGATGATGATAATAATGATATAATAATAATATTAAATAATGATGATAATACATATTAAATGATGATGATAGTGATGATAATAATGATAGTTAGGCGATCCCTCGTACTCCAAGGATGATGGTCCTCTAAGTGTAGTATCCCGACAGTGGGTCCGTAGGTGACTGTGGAGCCCTATTCTTGATCTGCATCTTCTCCCGCAGTGAAGGCATCGGTTTCCAGGTGGAAGGCGGTCCCGGTCGGGGTTGGCTTGACGCGCCTTCCTCTTGGCATGTTTCTCTCTTTCGCCCTCCATTTGTGCCTCTTCAAATTCTACAGCACTGCTGGTCACAGCTGACCTCCAACTGGAGCGCTCAAGGGCCAGGGCTTCCCAGTTCTCAGTGTCTATGCCAGAGTTTTTAAGGTTGGCTTTGAGCCCATCTTTAAATCTCTTTTCCTGTCCACCAAAGTTCCGTTTTCCGTTCTTGAGTTCGGAGTAGAGCAACTGCTTTGGGAGACGGTGGTCGGGCATCCGGACAACATGGCCGGTCCAGCGGAGTTGATGGCGGAGGACCATCGCTTCAATGCTGGTGGTCTTTGCTTCTTCCAGCATGCTGACCTTTGTCCGCCTGTCTTCCCAAGAGATTTGCAGGATTTTCCGGAGGCAGCACTGATGGAATCGTTCCAGGAGTTGCATGTGACGTCTGTAGATAGGCCACGTTCTGCAGGCGTATAGCAGGGTTGGGAGGATAATAGCTCTATAAACAAAGCACCTTGGTATCAATGCGGATGTCCCGATCCTCAAACACTATCTGCTTCATTCGGAAAAAGCTGCACTCGCAGAGCTCAGGCGGTGTTGTATTTCAGTGTCAATGTTGACTTTTGTGGAGAGGTGGCTGCCAAGGTAGCTGAACTGGTCAACATTTTCTAATGTTACACCGTTAAGTTGTATTTCTGGCATTGGAAAGGGATTGGCTGGTGACTGCTGGAAGAGCACTTTGGTTTTCTCAATGAACCTGTGAGGGATAATAATATAATAATAAATATGATAATAATAATGTTATAATTATATAATTATAATTATATTAAATGATGATGACAGTGATGATAATAATGATATGGTAATAATAAATATGGTAATAATGATAATAATATTAAATGATGATGAGAATGCATGTTAAATGATGATAGTGATAATAATGATAAAATGATAATAAATATTATGATAATAGTAATTATAGAATGATAATTATATTACATTATGATGATGATGCATATTAAATGATAATAGTGATGATAGTAATATTATGTTAATCTATATAAATAAAAATGTAATGTTCCTTTGTGGGATTAACAGAACTCAAAAACCACTGGGGGAATTGACACCAAATTTGGACAGCATACACCTAACAACCCAATGTATGTCCTTCACTCAAAAAAATTTGATTTTGTCATTTGGGAGTTGTAGTTGCTGGGATTTATAGTTCACCTACAATCAAAGAGCATTCTGAACTCCACCAACGATGGAATTGTACCAATCTTGGGGCACAGAACTCCCATGACCAACAGAAAATACTGGAAGGGTTTGGGAGTTGTAGTTCACCTACATCCAGAGAGCACTTTGAACTCAAACAACGATTGATCTGGACCAAACTTGGCACGAATCCTCAATTTGCCCAAATGTGAATACTGGTGGAGTTTGGGGAAAATAGACCCTGGCATTTGGGAGTTGTAGTTAATGGGATTTATAGTTCACCTACAATCAAGGAGCATTCTGAACCCCACAAATGAGAGAATTGGGCCATATTCCCCACACAGAACCCCCATGTGGGCCACAGCAACATGTGGCAGGAGACAACTAATAATAAATATGATAATAGTTTGGGGAAGCACCAGCAATCCTTGGCAGAGAGGGCTAAGGACCTTCTAAAAGTGCATTGCATTGAAGTGCATTCTAAAAGTGCATTGCATTAAAGTGGTGTCAAACTGCGTTAGTGCGCGATGTACCCTTGTGACAAAGGATTAGAAAGTTACCCTAAACAGGTCGAGTGCTGTCATTAGGAGTGTATCTAGAATCAAAGCAGTTTCAACACCGCTTGAAATGTCATGGCTCAATGCTATGAAAACCTGGTCTTTGTAGTTTTGGAAAGCAACTTTTCTTTTACAAAGCCATATAATCCTGATTAAAAAAGCAGATAACCCAGAACGTCTGCTTTGACCTGGATTATAGGAGTCTACACTGCCATATAATCCACTCCAAAGCAGATAAACTGAGGGCCCTTCCACACAGCCCTATATCCCAGAATATCGAGGCAGAAAATCCCACATTATCTGAGTGTGGACACAGATAACCCAGTTCAAAGCAGATATTGTGGGATTTTCTGCCTTGATATTCTGGGACATAGGGCTGTGTGGAAGGGCCCTAAATTTTACGTGGCAGTGTAGAAGGAGTGTGAAGCAACCTCTCTATTGGCCAAAGAGCACTGTAGAAAGTCACAGGAAAAGAAACACCGGTTTGGGCCAGTTTGCAAAGCCAGAGGCAAGGAACACGGCTGGGAGAGATGTCAGATTTAAGGTTCTGCCATGAGCCCCTGGAAATATTGCAGACGCTGCAGGCTTTTGCTTTCAATAGGCCTAAGAAATGGGCTGAAATGTTTAGCCAAGAGGCTTATCTCGCTGGCTGCAGTAGGCTGGTATGTGCCACTTCCGAGCTAACAAGAGTGTTGACATTCATAGGTAATATGAGGAAATGGACAAAGAAAATCTGAAGCCTCTGGACTCAAGGAAGGTGTCCAAAGAACCCGCTTCTTGTACTCTTGTGTTTCTGAAGATGCTGGAAAGTTATTGAGGACAAAATTAAAGAATGGACTGTGGGCTTACATTGCTGCAAAACCCGCTAAAAGGTTAATATCGTCTTGGATATTAAGATTACTTCCTTGCATATACACTAGACTCTCAATTAACTGGAACTCAAGCAACTGGAACTCTCAAGCAACCGACAAAAGTTTATTGGTGGTCACATAACTAAAATTGCATACTACATTCATGAGGCTATTTTAATAATATAGTAAAACTGAGTTTACATTAAGTTAAGTTTGTCTTTATGTGCCCTCATTTGCTTTTATTTACAGTATTTCAACATTAATATCAAATCAATACAGAGATTTTGGTATGGTATAATATGGGGTGTAGTATTAGTTTAGTTAGGCCTATTTTTAATACTGGTAGAAGATTTCATGGAGCCCCCGGTGGCGCAGTGCCGACGCTTGATGCGCAGGTGTCAGCGGTGGCCAGGAGGGCCTTTGCGCAATTAAAACTTGTGTGCCAACTGCAACCTTACGTTGTGAAGTCTGACTTGGCCATGGTGGTCCATGCCTCAGTTACCTCCAGACTGGACTACTGTAATGCACTCTACGTGGGGCTACCCTTGAAGACGACCCGGAAACTACAACTTGTGCAACGTTCGGCAGCCAGATTAGTAACTGGGGTGACTTACAGGGAGCGGTCATCCCCCGTTTAAGGAGCTCCACTGGCTGCTGTTTATTTTCCGGTCCCAATTCAAGGTGCAGGTTATCACCTATAAAGCCCTAAACGGTTTGGGACCCACCTACCTATGTGACCGTATCTCCCTCCATGAACCATCTCGGGCCCTCCAATCTTCTGGGGAGGCCCTTCTCTCGCCCCTGCCAGTTTCATAAGCTCGCCTGGTAAGTACAAGAGAGAGAGATTTTTCCTCTGTTGCTCCCCGGCTCTGGAACTCATTGCCTGGAGAAATTAGGAAAGCCCCTACCCTAGAAACCTTTAAAAAGAACCTTAAAACTTGGCTCTTCCGCTGCGCCTTTGGTGAGTAGGTATACAATCTCACAGTATTGCTCAGCCTCAATGTTCTGTCATTGGAGTATATGTGTCCGTCCGTCCGTCCCCGTCCCCGTCCCCCCCGCCTTGTGGGAAAGCTTGATTCCATCATAATGATCCCTCCTCCACAAATAATCTGCTTCTCTTTTATCCCGCCCGAGTTTTTAATTAGTTCTTCTTTTTATCATTACATGTAGCCCGCTCATTGTCATTGTTTTTGTGCTTACTGTAATTTTATATTGTTATGTATTCACATGTTTTATGTAATTATGATGTTGTTGTTTATTGTTCGCGTTTTCGGTTCACGTTTTCGGTTTTTCTTTATTGTAATTGTTGTTTGGGCTTGGCCTCATGTAAGCCGCTCCGAGCCCCCATTGGGGAGACAGTGGCAGGGTATAAATAAAGATTATTATTATTATTATTATTATTATTATTATTATTATTATTATAAAAAGTAGTTTAGAAAGTTATCAAGCAAAGGAAAAATTGCCATCCAAGATAGGAGAGGCAAAGGACATGACTGGAGGCTGAACTGGGAGACAAGATGTATAAATAAATTATACCAGTTCATCCTTGCTTGGCTATGTGGTGAGAAGGCACTAACACCCATCTTTTGGATGCCTCCAAGCAGACCTGAGAGTATGTACCAGTAGCATCAGAAGAGTTTGTGTCACTTAGGGTCCTTCCACACAGCTGTATAACTCAGAATATCAAAACAGATAATCTACAGTATCTGCTTTGATCTGTATTATCTGAGTCCACACTGCCGTATAATTCAGTTCAATGTGGATTTTACACAGCTGTGTGGAAGGGGCTCTAGTGTGGTAACCCAAAGTGTCATCCCCATGGAGCTCTTCCCAAAACAATTGCCTAGTTATCCTAATGACAGCACCCACCCTCTTATGCATATACAGTTATTCCAAAAAAACCCAAAATAAGAAAACTGGAAATCCAATATATTTTCTGTCCCAAGTATTTTAAATGAGAGCTACTCAACCTATACAGCCGTGAGTGTTTTTTACATACAACTATTTTTTTCAAGTTTCAATCAAAGTTTTTGAATCTATTCCGTTTTTTTATTTAAAAAAACATAGTAATTGAAAAAATCTATAAAACCAAGTAAAATTGCAATCATTTTATTTCAATTTAATCAATAAGCCTAAATCCATACTGTTTCCATACATAAGCTTACTCATGGTATTCAACACATTTAAAAACGAAATATATACATCCTTCTGTCAATAATTATATTAAATTCTGAAGACATTGTAATGGAATAAAAATAAAAATCAAACCACTGGGTTGAGATTCAGTGTCCCAACTGTGGGTCATAAACAAAGCTACAGCTACTAATTTGGGTAGCATAACTGTTGTCCATTTTATAGTTATATACAGTATTTACAATAAATAAATAAATTACATTGCTTTACCGGAAGATTATGAGAAGCATTTTTCACAATTCAAGTTTGGTAAAATCAGAAATTTACCAGTGTAGACTGTGAATGAAATAAACCCTTTAAACACCAAACACACTACTTGCCACAGTATGGTTCATTGGAGGGATGGTGGAAGTTTTGTTCTAAGGAAGAATCATAGAATGTTAGAGTTGGAAGACACCCCAAGGGCCATCCAGTCCAACCCCATTCTACCATGCAGGAACACATAATCAAAGCCAACAGATGACCATCCAGCCTCTGCTTTACAACCTCCAGAGAAGGAGACTCCACCACGCTCTGAGGAGGCAGCAAATTTCACTGCTGGAACCGCTCTTATCATCAGGAAGTTTGGGTGGTATCTCTTTTACTGAAATCTGAATCCATTGCTCTTTGCTCTGGTCTCTAAAGCAGCAGAAAAAAAAACGGTCCCTTCTTCAATGTGACAGCCTTTCAAATATTTCAAATAAAGACATGTACCTAAGTTTGCCAATTCTAGGTCATCTGTCACTAGCCAAGGGCATAATTCCAAGCAAAGTGGAGAATATATGTTGTGAAACGGACAGGTCGATTTGAAGGCAGCAGAGCAACACTCATGTTGTGATCAACACCATAGTGGAGTATAATAATATAACACAGACAGAACTTGACTGAAACACTGAAGCTCACACAACTGGGAGAGGTTTTTGTTTTTTTAAGGGTGAAAGGTCATAGATTGATGGCACTGGAAGGGGACCTATGGGCCATCATGCCTAACCACCTGCTCAGTGTAGGATCTCCAGCTAGAACATCGCCTGCAACTTATTTTTGAAGATATCAGGGGAAGTAAACCACACCACTTCCTTCAGAAATTGGTTCTATTACTGAACTATTCACACTAACAAGAAGTTCCTTCTAATGTTCAATTGAAATCTACCCTCCTGTAACTTACAGCTGTTCAACCTAATTCTACTCTGAGGCAGCAGAGAATAGGTCTGCCGACCTCTTCTCTATGGAAGCTCTTGAGGTATTGAAAGAGTGTCACCCATAAAGTTAAATTGTACCCAGCTACAAGAAAAGTTGCAGCAGAAGACATGTTCAAATAGTGAAGCAGTATACCAGGGGTCCTCAAACTAAGGCCCGGGGGCCGGATACGGCCCTTCAAGGTCATTTACCCGGCCCTCAATCAAGATCAACATAAGTCTGAAACGATTTGAAAGCACACAACAACAATCCTGTCTCATTATCCAAAAGCAGGCCCACACTTCCCACTGAAATAGTAATAAGTTTATATTTGTTAAAATTGTTCTTCATTTTAATTATTGCACTACAAATAAAATATGTCCAGTGTGCATAGGAATTCATTCATGTTTTTTTCCAAATTATAATCCGGCCCTCCAGCAGTTTGAGGGATTGTGACCTGGCCCTCTGTTTAAAAAGTCTGAAGACCCCTGCAGTATACTGTGTGGGCTGCATGGGAAAACACAGCTACTGAAAACACTTAAGGCTGCAAATATGCAGTTAAGAGCGATCCCTGCATTAAAAAACTGCTTCAAGATACGTGTCTTTTGGCATGATTCCTTTCTTTAAAAAGAAAAAAAATCCTTTCCCCTTAGCTGTCAGTAATATGATGCAGGGCATACCGTAAAAGAAGATACAAGGTCTTCTGAGATTGGACCCATTATTAGTTTGTTCGTTCTTTTTCTCACTTTATTTCAAGCAAATCCAAATCACAACAGCCTAAGTTAAGCTTAATTGTTTGACAAAGTAATTGCCTAATACATTAATGGCATAACCGTTTTAGCATATACTAAAATTAATTTTAAAAATACACTGGATTAGTTACATTAGGTTGAAATCTATGCTCAGTGCAACTTCTGAATAGAGATATATAGGATTGCACCGTTAATAATATAGAATCACAGTGTCCAGTATCCAAAGATTATGTGATTACTGAGTTAAGTCTTTGAAGTTAACCTGAAAAGTAATTCTTCATGCTTCACTGCAGTGTTTTTAAAATTTAAGGACAAACAGAAAATGAACTGCAAGATCCATAATGTGAGTTTTTAATAACACAACTAGCCATCCCCTGCCACACGTTGCTGTGGCCCAGCCTGTGTATATGTGCTTTGTGTGTGTGTATATTTGTGTATATGTGTATATATGTGGTTTTGTGCATGCGTTGTAATGTATTTTTTGGGGGGGGATTTTTAAGTCTCTTCTGCTGTGTTTTTATGACTGACCAGCCGTCCCCTGCCACGCGTTGCTGTGGCCCAGTCTGTTGATAAAGTAATGAGAAAGTGTTGGTTTCTAATATATATAATTTTTATGCTTGTGGGTAAACAGTATTTCTTGCTGTTTCTTTGTCAGTGTTGATGTAGAGATTGTCTGGTTTGCCTACTCTGGAACATGCAACATATAATTGTCCTTCTTTAGGGGTCCCTTTCAAATCTATGATATTATATCTGTGTGTGTGAATCATATCTATCTATCTATATTTATGACTGGATGGCTCTTTGTCAGGAGGGCTTTAATTAGATTTTCTTGCCCTGGTGAAGGGAGTTGGACTGGATAGCCTTAAGTATTTTCTGTTAGTCATGGGGGTTCTGTGTGGGAAGTTTGCCCCAATTCTGTCGTTGGTGGGGTTCAGAATGCTCTTTGATTGTAGGTGAACTATAAATCCCAGTAACTACAATCCCAAATGTCAAGGTCTATTTCCCCAAACTCCATCTGTGTTCATATTTGTGCATATTGAGTGCTTGTGCCAAATTTGGTCCAGATCCATCATTGTTTGAGTCCACAGTGCTCTCTGGATGTAGGTGAACTACAACTCCCAAACTCAAGGTCAATGCCCACCAAACCCTTCTAGTTTTCTGATGGTCATGGGAGTCCTGTGTGCCACGTTTGGTTCAATTCTATCACTGGTGGAGTTCAGAATGCTCTTTGATTGTAGGTGAAATATAAATCCCAGTAACTACAACTCCCCAATGACAAAATCAATTTTTTTTAGTGAAAACATACATTGGGTTGTTAAGTGTCTTGTGTCCAAATTTGGTGTCAATACGTCCAGTGGTTTTTGAGTTATGTTAATCCCACAAACAAACATTACATTTTTATTTATATAGATAGTCACTCGTTGGCCTGATATGTGTATTGTGTCCAAATTTGGTGTCAATTCGTCCAGTGGTTTTTGAATTATGTTAATCCCACAAACGAACATTTCATTTTTATTTATATAGATTTGGCTGTTTTGACCCCATAGCTAATTTTCCCCCTCTATCCTAAAGAGCTAAGAGCAGCTGAAATAGGGCGATATTGAGAGAAGGACCAAACACCTCCCCTCAATATTGAAAAGCTTATAGTAGTATCTCCTGCATCACACCAAGACATATGGGAATTTCAAAAGCAATTTGGTAGGAAGAATCAGTTATTCAAAGAAAACGAAGTCAAGTATTCAATTGGGCTTGCACCATTTTGTATCCCAGCCAAGGAAGTTTGTATCAAAAATAAAGCATTATGTTGTCTACATTCTACCTATTAGAAAATTATAATAAAAATTAAATGCTAACCTACAAATGGGTTTTATAAAACGGACTCGAAAGTAAGTAGTTTGTGCAATAAGAATGATACCTCACCCCTGAACTTGTTTCACGTAAACGAAATGCCAAATGCAGTGGTAAGACTTTCCATATGCATCTCCAAGTGATCTCTATTACATTTTAGTGATAGTATGTAAGCACGTTTTTAAAAAAGTGGATACATAAATCCTTAAAAAATGTACAAGCAAACCTCAAAATAGGATAAAAATGCAATGCTCTGCAACCACTATAAAGTATTTTCCTTCTTGTAACAAGTTTGCTCCATTTTTATTTCCCCCAAAGATCTTTATATATTATATGCATATCAACTACTTAATCCAACATTACTGAGCAACATTCAATTTATACTTCATATTTTTAACTAAAGAAAGTACTATAAATACCAGCAATTTGTCAATAATGATTTGAAATGGGAAATTATCATGAAATGCAATATGAAAACAGGTGAAATATTTTTCAGTTACACTTCAGAGTCTTTAATTGAGGTGCAAAAACTGCTTCATAAATTCGTAAGTGGTGAAAGCAACAGCCTGTGAAGGGACGCATCGAATGTAATTCAGAGATAATCCTCTATATAATCCTCTTCGTATTCCATGGTTTCCATAAACATATTTCAGTGTCTGTATCATTGTACTAGAAAGAGAACAAAGTCTTAATTTACTTAAAATGCAATCTTGTCTAAACATTTGCCTTTTAATAACTTTATAAAAAGAGGAAAGATATACAGAAGAATATTTTAGTTTCTTGTAAATCTTTTTCTAAAAGGAAACAATCGATTCTTAATGTCACTATGGCATGCAGCTATTCCATTTTTATTCCTTACTGGGGTTTTGGAACAGAAAAAAAAAGGAATGCAATAATGGGCAAAACCTGGGATATTACAAGTAGAAAATAACATTCTCTTCTCATAATGTTTCCATGAATGAGATAAAGTAATTTATGATAACAACACCCTCATCTGGAAGAACTTGCACATGAGAAGTTTTATATATCTGGACCATATACACAGGAAATGCTAGAGAGCTGTTCATGAGTTCCCAAACTTTGTCTATGTGTGTGTTCTGTTACTGCGATTGTGTTTATTGTAATGTTATTTTGTTACTGTATTCATTTTTTTTCTCATGAAATTTTGATGATGTTGCTTGTTGTTTATGTTTTGGTTTTATTTTTCTGTAATATGTTGTCCGGGCTTGGCTCCATGTAAGCCGCTCCGAGTCCCCATCGAGGAAATGGTGGTGGGGTATAAATAAAGATTATTATTATTATTATTATTATTATTATTATTATTATTATTATTATTATTACCTGAATCCAATTATTAGTCCCAACTAAAATGGACCCACTGAATCAATAGAACTCGTATAACTTGTGTAGTTCTTGTTGATTCAATGAATCCCCTCTATTTAAGGAACAAATTAATTTAGGCCCATGTTATCTCTTTTTCTTACAGACCACAGACAAACTACAAGAGAGGAGATTCCATCTGAACATGAGGAAGAACTTCCTGACTGTGAGAGCTGTTCAGCAGTGGAACTCTCTGCCCCGGAGTGTGGTGGAGGCTCCTTCTTTGGAAGCTTTTAAACAGAGGCTGGATGGCCATCTGTCAGGGGAGATCTGAATGCAATATTCCTGCTTCTTGGCAGGGGATTCGTCTGGATGGCCCATGAGGTCTCTTCCAACTCTTTGATTCTATGATTCTATGAGTATGTGCAGAGAAGGCCAGAATATTGATTTATTTTAAAATAATTTTTATTAATTATCAATCATTAAAAACTTCCCACACCACATACTTCTATATCTTTTATCCATGAGCACAATTCTCTTAATTTCTGTATAATATCTAAATTGGCTTCACCACTTTTTATCCATTCCATATAAACTAGCCAGTCTGAATTAGACATGCTATAATATCAGATTGTGCTTGATCATAAAGAGAGTTATTTTGGTTTTCCATGTTCCTTTTTGTTCCATCTTTCCAATTCCATGCTATCACTGCCTGTCCTGCTAAAATTATAGCTTTAAATAACTATTTTCTATTACTTTAACCTTGTTGTTACCTAAAACTTCCATTAGCATCAGATCCATGTTCACTTAAAGTGGTATTTTAAACATTTTAAATTTTCTTCAATTTTTTCCCCTTTTGGACATTCCTACCACATATGAGCATACCATCCTTTATTTAAACCAAAATGCCAACACATTGGACTCATCCCTCCCATCCTATATGAAAGTTAGGCTGGGGTTCTATACCATTTCAAAATAAATTTCCTTTCCAGTTTTTTTTAATATTTCTCAATTTTTATACTTTTGATCACCTTCATTAATCTCTCTATTATTTCACTAGTAAGTTGGCCTAAAAGGCCAGGATATTTGACACTTTTGACTGAAATGTTTCTCTTTATAGAGCACAATCCACCAGGGAATCCTAAACGTAACAACCATTGAAGCGAATACTATTCACTTGTGACCTGTGCTCAAATCAGCTGTGCAGTAATTAAATATATGCTAAAGTTAGTCTTTCAGATGGCCCACATCTTTTTAATTCATGGTAGATGTCTTCTTACATCCACAACATAATCAACTATTGAGAAACTGCAGAAAGGGATTTATGCTCGGCTCAGTTTTCAGGTGTTAGGGATTTGCTGGACTGAATAACGATTTGTGGACCCTCCATATGGTACTGCTGATTCTAGTCCACTGTACTGTCCTCTGCCTCCACTATCTGTGTTTACCTAGTGGGTCACAGGCAGTATTAGATGAGAAAGAGGGAGCCATGTTGCTATTCTATATTTCCATTTGAAAGATCTCCTGCCTGCTGGATAAACACAGTTGAGGGCAGGGAAGACTGACAATGTGAGCAAGCAGTTCTACCAGGAAGTCAAGTGTCACTGGCAAAATTAAACCAGTGGCACTGGAGAGTACGGGCAGGATCATCAGGATCCTACCATGCTGATTTCTATTACAACGGTTCTGACCCAGATTACTTGCCCGAATGTGTCTCCTGCTATGAACCATCACGAAGCTTAAGATCATCAAGAGAGGCCCTGCTCTCGATCCCAACACCTTCGCAAACGCGGTTGGTGGGGACGAGGGACAGGGCCTTTTTAGCAGTGGCCCCCTGTCTGTGGAACTCTCTCCCTAAGGACATCAGGTTGGCCACCTCCCTTCTGTCCTTTAGAAGACAACTGAAGACCTGGCTCTGGAACCAGGCATTTTGACTAGAGAGGAACAGCAATATGAAAGGAAAACTTTTGGATATCCCAATATCGATTCTCCTGGCTTGGTCTTGGTGTATTGGCACGCTAATTTATTTATTATTGATGAATTTACTGTGGAAACTGGATAATGTTTTAAATTGATTTATTGGTATATGTGGGGGGGGGGGGTTGTCGTGTCAGACGCAACTTGAGAAACTGCAAGTTGCTTCTGATGTGAGAGAATTGGCTGTCTGCAAGGACGTTGCCCAGGGGACGCTCGGATGAATTGATGTTTTTATCATCCTTGTGGGAGGCTTCTCTCATGTCCCCGCATGAGGAGCTGGAGCTCATAGAGGGAGCTCATCCGCCTCTCCCCGGATTCGAACCTGCGACCTGTCGGTCTTCAGTCCTGCCGGCACAGGGGTTTAACCCACTGCGCCACCGGGGGCTCCTATATGTGGGTTGCATCACTGGATGCTTATGTAAGGCCACCCTGAGTCCCTCTTGTGGGGAGAAGAGTGGGATAGAAGTATATGTAATACATACATACATACATACAACACCCCAGTTACGTGTAAACCCAGTCACAAGAGCCATCCAGTCCAACCTAGACCCCTTCCACAAAGCTGAATAAAATCCCACATAATCTGCATTGAACTGGAATATATGGCAGTGTGGACTCAGATAATTCAGTTCAAAGCAGATATTCTGGGATTTTCTGCTTTAATATTCTGGGATATAGGGCTGTGTGGAAGGGCCCTAAGAATGAGTGATTTAATATGAAAGGTTAAACTTACAGGCACTTCTCTGAATCTGGAAGAATTGCTCCTAGCTGCATTCGCCTTCGTGTTACATCAAGAGGATATCTAAGGAGAGGGAGGAAAGTGAGTTGGTGTTTAGTTGTAAACACAGCACTGTAAGCATTCATATCATGAATAAAAGATCAGCTAACAAATATATGTTGGATATGAAACTGACCTACACTGGCTGACAAAACTACTCCAAGGAATTGGGTATTTCCCTGCTCAACTAACCAATGTTTTGATTTCCAAAAAGGGATTCCGGGTCTCAGGCCCACATCTTTGCAATGTAAAAGATGGTTTACAACTATAGGGTTATTTTACATGAAGAGTAACAACAGCCACAAGTATATATAATGGGTTTTTCTCAAAAAATGTGTCTTCTGAAATATAGAGAATATTAACCAGAAATTATACCCAATAAGACTTAATGGCCTGATCCCACATGTGATTTCCAAATACAGTAAATCCATTGAATCTTAAATGGAGTACACTTATTTATTTGTTTGTTTATTTACTTCATTTATACCACGCCTTTCTCACCCCACAAGGGGTGAGAAACTCCGGCAAAGGCGGAGTTACAAACTCAAGGCGGCTTACAAACTCCGGCAAAGATTCAATGCCACAAATAAATAAGTTCTGCTGCTCCAAGGACTAGAACATGTACCAATGGATTGAAATTACAAGAAAGTATATCCCAACTAAACATTTATATATTTTTTTACTGTGGGAGTTATCTGGCAGTGGATTAAATTGCATTGAAGGATGGTAGATGTCTCATCTTCAAAGATTTTTAAATAAAAGACTAATAAGCATCTTGTAGGTGTGTTTTTGTTGTGAATTCTTGCAAGACAAGACTCTTCCCAAGGCCACACTTAGAAATTTATGAATCAAGTTACTATAAAACTACTATAGGCCCGCTAAATTGAGTGGTAAGTCAACCATGTAAAAATCTGTAGTTGAAAAACAAAAACAAAAGATAAAAGACCCAATACCTGAGTTGTATTAGCTAAAGTAAAGGACAAAATCAAGTCTGTCAACATTTAAATACTTTGAATTCACTGACAGTTAAAAAAAAACTTCTCAGTAGAGACTAGATCTTTAAAGTCTCAACACTATTTTTACAACCCAAATGTTTAAAAACAGGGTTGAAAAGCCTATGTCCCTTGAAATGGAACTGGATTGCAGTTCCAGTAAGCTCAGTCTGTAGAGGCAAATGATGAAGGATGAGTGTAGTTATCAACATTTAGAAAGCTACAGGTTCCCTATTTTAAAGGAGCCAAAAACAAGCAGTAAAAATCTCCTGCTCGCATAATTAATTTACATATGAAAACCAAGCACCAGGAAAAAAATGGAATGTGGGGCAGCGAGTTATATGAGACTGAAATACCTATCTTCCCTTGTAGCTATCTGGCATCTCATTTGGTCCAGATTTTAAAGACTCTACTAATATTTCAAATTCAACATGTAGACCTGTAAAGGCAGTATGTGCCTGATGGTTATCTATGCAACTAGAACTGTACTTAAAATATCCAGGCTCAAATTTCCATTTGGCAGTGAAGTTGACTTGACGTCCTCAGACCAACTACTCTCAGCTTGGCCTACCTCACAAGTTTGTTTTGAGCACAGAGGGACAAGCATGTATGCTTCCTTGAGCCCATGGGAAGAAAGGCAAGATGTACATGAACTAGAATATCACACTACTATACTCACAGAGAGAGATAAAAATCAATTACCGTATATACTCGAGTATAAGCCGACCCAAATATAAGCCAAGGCACCTAATTTTACCACAAAAACTGGGAAATCTTATTGACTCGAGTATAAGCCGAGGGTGAGAAATGCAGCCGCTACTGGTCAATTTGACAGAAGGCCACCCAGTCTTTCTGTCATTCCCTCCCCCCTACCTCGCAGAGCACGAGCTTTCCTCAGCGGTAGCAGAGGGGGAGGAAGCCCCTGCGGCAGGCTTTTCTGCAGGCTTGCTCTCCTTCTTCCTTGTCCCATTCGCGGCCACGGTGGCAGCGGTGGGAGGAAGCAGAAAAGCTGCGCATGGGGCGAGAGGGGAGGGGAAAGTGCACGCTGCTTCCCTTCCTCTCTTGCCATGCACGCACCTTCTTCGGCGGCGGAGGCAGGAAAGATGCACGAGGGAGAAGGGAAAGATGCGTGCCTTTCTCTCCTCCCGTGCCCTGCGCACACCTTTACTGCTGCTGCCAAGGAAGGCGCGCACGGGGCATGGGAGGAGAGAAAGGCGTGCACCTTTCCCTCCTCCCTCGCGCGTCTTTCCTGCCTCCGCCGCCAAAGAAGGTGCGAGGGAGAAGGGAAAGGTGCACGCCTTTCTCTCCTCCCATGCCCCGTGTGCGCCTTCCTCGGCAGCAGCAGTAAAGGTGCGCACAGGGCATGGAAGGAGAGAAAGGCGCGCACCTTTCCCTTCTCCCTCGTGCATCTTTCCTGCCTCCGCCACCAAAGAAGGTGTGCGCACGGCAAGAGAGGAAGGGGAGCGGCGTGCACTTTCCCCTCCCCTCTCGCTCCATGCGCAGCTTTTCTGCTTCCTCCCACCACTGCCCCCGCCACCGCGGCCGCGCATGGCACAAGGAAGAAGGAGAGCAAGCCTGCAGAAAAGCCTGCCGTAGGGGCTTCCTTGTCTTCTGCCACCGCCGAGGCTGAAGACTTTCCCTTTCCCTCCTCCTCCCTCGTTCCCTGACCCGAATATATGCCAAGGGGAGGTTTTTCAGCCTGAAAAAAAAGCTGAAAAACTCAGCTTATAGTCGAGTATATACGGTAATTGATTATAATGTATTCAAACTGTACTAATTAATAAAAATTACAATAAAAACATTTATTGTATGTCATAAAATGATGTATAAAACAATCCTATCACTGATTTCTTAAGCATGGGGCTATATGAATGCAATCTCAATAGCTTCATTTGTTTCATCGTGTCTAAAGTAAGACACATCCCTTTTAAAGAAATAACATACTTAATGCCTAGCTTTTCAGTGTTTTGATTACTGGTATATTTTTTATTATTTGACTTTGATATAGGATTATCAGTGGGAGTCTTTTGATTATAGATACTAAATTATTTTAAAATAGATCTCTGTAGCTTGGGCATATACGCTCAGTTCTCACAGTCTCCCTTCACAACTCATAAGTCTAAGATTAAGACCAAGTTCGATTCCATGTTTTGAAGATTAAGTTCCTGATACAAACTATCCTAACAATGCTGTAATTTATTGCAGTAAAATACTAGAACAACTTACGATATTGTCTGTGCTATTGCTCCAGCTATGCCACCACACAGCAAATTTACATGAGTTTTCAAAACTAAGACATCGGGATTATCTAAGCAAGGCCTCCCGAGGAGGGCAGGCGCTTGGGCAAGTCCCACACTCTTTAAGGTACCAAACGTAAAAAATGAGAAACCTGAAAGGAAAAAATTTAACTTTAACAGAAACATTACCTCAACCTGCTGCATAAACACTATAGCTATACAGATGTTATAGTCCCAATCCGGTTAAAAGATAAGCATGTCTTTACATATATTCATAACAAAGAAATAACGCTATCTCTTATTGAGGAGGAAAAACAATGACACTGAAGAGCTAAATCCACTATTAGTTTTGAGTCAAGTAGGTCTAATAAAACTAGTAGGTTCTCAATTGGTTGTGAGTAATGTTTCCCTTTGTCTTCAGTGTGTTTACTCCAAATAGTTGTATTTAGCAAAGTTGATTGATTAGTCCATTGACCATATCAACATTAAAAACAAAAACAGAAACTTGCACAAATAGACAATAATCACTATCCTAAGACTCCCATAATAGTGAACTAACATACATTCAAACTTGATTAAGTTAAAAGATAATTAAAAATATCATCATTAAAATGCAAAGGTAAAATTTCACACCACAAAAATTAAAAACGAAGGTTAAAATGAAGGTTAAAATAGACCACCTTGTTGTATTTAACTCTAACATAGGGTTGAACAAACGTGGAAAGCTTGTGGGGCACACTGGTCCAACAGTAAGACCACTGCACTGGCTCTCACAAAAAAAATCAATTGTTTTTTCACTCCCACATTCCATCTAACAGGAGAGGAATTTCCACCATGTTTTGGAACCTTTATGAGACTTTTGGCCTCAGAAGAGGCTTTAAAAAAAACAAACAGAGAGTAGAAGTAACTTCCTGTTCATTACTTGTTCCAAACACGTTTTCCTGGGATGTAACAGGGCATTCAAAATATAGTGAAAATGGCTCCCTACCCCCTAGAAGGCATTTTGTGGTAGGAAAACGTTTTTGACCTCTGGAGGAATCCAAACATGGAGAAAATGCCCTCCACAATCTTCAGAGGTCCTACTATCGCAAAAAAAAGGGGAACGGGAAAGACTGGGGATCCTGGGGGCTGCCATCATCCCACTAGCTGTATCTTGACCACTAATGTTCAAAAGGCTCAGATGAGCTAAATCAAGCTTTCTATAAATCAAGATGTCTCTCTTTTCCTGACAAAGGAAGCCTATGATTATGGTGGCCACAGAGAAATCCTTCCCCTAATAATAATAATAATAATAATAATAATAATAATAATAATAATAATAAATAATCTTTATTTATACCCCGCCACCATCTCTCCAAGGGGACTCGGGGCAGCTTACATGAGACCAAGCCCAACAACACATCAGTAAAAACAAAACAGCAAGCAAATAAAACAGTACTATTAATATAATTCACTTATAAACAATAACACACATAATTTAAAACATTATGGCTGGGACAGATGTAATAAATTAAAAATTTTAAAATAAACACTGGGCATGAACAGAGGTAGGATGTATCTAAGCAGGAGGGCTTTAAAAGATAATGTAGGGAGATCAACCGAATGGGTAGTAAACTGCTTCTGATGATGTATTTTATTGTATTTTATATTTTAATGTATAATGATGATGCATTCTGCTGTTTTTTATATTACTGTATATCAACACATGTTGTGAACCAGCCTCAGTCCCTCCTCAGAGGTGAGAAGACCAGCATATAATACTTCTAAATAAATAAATAAATTCTGAGGACAATTGCAGAGAATTAATCAGATCAGGCATTGTTTCCTTATTCAGGGAAGGCACACTGGAACAGCCATGTTTTCAGGCTCTTCCTAAAGACTGCCAATGTGGGGGCTTGTCTGATATCCTTGGGGAGTGAGTTCCAGAGGAGGGGGCCACCACAGAGAAGGCCCTCGTCCCCACCAATCGCGCCTGCGAAGGGGGCGGGAGCGAGAGCAGGGCCTCTCCAGATGATCGAAAAGATTGAGTGGGTTCGTACACAGAAATGCAGTCACGCAAATCTTAGATCCCTGGCAGGTTCGTATGGGGTAATAATAGTTTTGACTCATCAGTCATCTGTCCTTTTAAAATGTCATTGAATTTCTATTCTTTGTCTGAAGAATTATTGTTTTCTTGTCACATGGACATTAAGCTCTCAAAGCACAGTAGCCTTTATGGCTTGTGTTGCACTCAAATAAAGTCAAAATCTGGAACGTGACAAACAATTCTAGAAATTATTTTTATCATCCTTAGTACGGCTCAAGGTGAATTATAATTTTAAAAAATGAAGCTAAAGGCATCCAAAAAGTGACAATTGAAATGGGATTAAATTCATGACATTATCAAAATTATTTAAAACTAAACTTAAAAATACAAAAGACAGTTAAAAGACAAAAAGCAAATAAACAGTTCAGTCTAAAAAACACAGCACCCTCAGTCCATTTGTTAAACCTTTCTGTTTTAAAAGCCTGCCAGAATAAAAAAATCTTTCCCTGGTAGTGGGAAGAAGAGAAAGAAGTGGGCCATTCTGGTTTCCTTGGGAAGGGAGCACCAAAGATTAGGGCAGCCACTG